ACAGACAGACGACTGTTAAGGTGTCTGTATAGACGGCTGTTAAGGCGGCTGTATAGACAGACGTCTGTAAGGCATCTGTATAGACAGACGTCTGTAAGGCGTCTGAATATACAGACTTCTGTAAGGCGTCTGAATAGACAGACGTCTCTAAGGCGTCTTTATACACAGCTGTTAAGGCCCTTGTGTAGATAGCTGTTAAGGCGTCGATATAGACAGCTGTTAATTATTATGTAAAATAAGTCTGATTCTCTGATTGTGAAGCGTTTTCACGGACCCACTTTACTGCCCAATTTTCTTATTTTTAAATAAATTTCATAAACACATATTCGTTTATATGTATGTGTCTGTGTGTGTTCACAACATTTGCCTAAACAAATATATTAACAAAATAACGGAAATTGTTATTTTCCACATAAGTCAACAATACGACTTGGGTGCCGTCAAGTCGTGTTGTAGTGGTGTTACTATTGTCGTTTCCGCTTCTGCCACTTTGCCATTGTCATTTAAAGGCGTTATTTGTTGTCACATTCAGACGGCATTTCTTTTGAAAATATCTTTGGCAAAAGGATGTTTATCTCAGTGTGGTTTTGCACACATATATTTCAATCGTGTGTGTGAGTGTGTGTGTCTGTGTGTCTCTTGAAAGGGAAAATACATGCCGTGGATCATTGTAATCACTTGGAAATTTCTCACATTCACACGCTCATAAGTATGTCCTTAATGAACTTAATCGTCGCCGTCGTAGCCGTCGTCATCAGCAACGACGCGGTATTTGAATTTATTGCTCTAGAAAACTGTCAACGCTTTTGTTTTGTGTATGTGTGTGTGTGTGTGTGTCTGTGTGAACAACAACTGATTGTTGTCCTTTTTGTTGAAATGCCACGTTGATTGTTCAATTGAGATTAACGAAAGGATACAAATAAATCCTTGCCATACATATTTTAAACGATTTGTTTGTGAAGGTGCTGAACAGAGATTAGAATTGAGATATGTTGCTCTATTTAATGGGTTGACAAGGAGTTCAAATTAAATACAATTCTTCATGTAATTTAATATTTGCGGTCACACATAAGTAATGAATTTTAAATTTGGGGTTAATTGAGGTTAACTCTTTATTGAACTGAAATTTGATTGAGAAGGGATAGGCCACTTTAATGCAAATTTCGATATTAAGCTTATAATTGGACAATAATCAAGACTTGGGCATTACCTTGAACAAATCGGATGAACTATTTTAGACATCAAAGTATAATCACACTATCTAACAATTTCATGGTTATGGTGTGAGTGATGAGTGGACTTCTTAGGAATATTTAGAAATTCTGAGACTTTTCTGATACAATTTTTGGTCGAGCTGTGGGTTGGAATGTGGACCCAATAATAATTAACAGCGAAGGGAAAAAATACGCGATTAAGTCGACGGCCACACTATGGACCAGCTTCAAAGTGATAAAACGTCGTCACAATATCAACCCTAGAATCCCTGATTGTCTAAGAGACATCGTAAACGTCGAATCCCTGATGATCATCTTAAAGACTCTACTCTGAGTTCCCGAAAATATCCAAAGTCAATCTACCATCCCATTTTTATATTCACATTATCGCGTTTGAACACAAGTACAGGGTGAGATAAAAAACTGCAACAAAGTCAAACGCCATCATTTTTACATTTTTTAAACCCCCCACCATAGTATGGAAGGTATATTCCGTTTCCGTTTGTAACACCTCGAAATATACATTTTAGACCCCACAAAGTACATATATTCTTGATCAGTATAAAATTCTATGTCGATTTAGCGATGTCTGTCAGTCTGTGAAAATCACTCTAGATTCTGAACGAATTGTAGTAGATTGATAAAATTTTACTCAATGTATATTATGTCTGCAGGACTTTTGATATTGAAAATGGGCCATGTAGGTCCAGGTTTTGGTATAGCCCCCATATAACGGTACCTCCCGATATTCGGTATTTTGATGATTTTAGCGACATTATTCACCGGAATTGTTTCGAATTTGGTATTTGAAGTTCGTAATGGATACTTCAGCCTAAGACTGAAAATTGTCTGTGCAGATAAGGGTAACTCCCGATACTCGGTATTTTGATGACTTTAGCTACATTATTCACCGATTTTCTTCTAAGTTTCGCATTTGAATATTGCAATGGTTTATGACAAATATTACCTATGCAAGTCCATGTCGGCTACATTCAGTATTTTTAAGAATTGGAACAGAATTTTTAATTTTTTTTTTTTTTGAGAATTGTTATTGAGAATTGCAAGGGTATTCAAAGTTTGGACCGGCCGAACTTACAGACGTCAGAAATAGCATCAAATTCTAGAATAAGTTTAGTTTTGTTCGAATCGGTCACCATTGGCTCCAATTATGACCTTCAAACGGCCAATGAAACCGTCACACGCCTGCCGAATGTGGCTTTGCGGTATTTTGGCCCATTCCCGGGGAAGTGCTTGCTTGAGGTGATCGATACTTTGGTATTTTTCAGTGGTAACCTTGCTTTCCAAAATACTAAAGACACAATAGTCCAACGGATTTGTATCCGGAGATTTTGGTGGTCACTGTGCTCTGGAAATGAAGCGAGGAACCTCATTTTGTAACCATTCTTGGGTGGCGAGTGCTGAGTGCAATGGTGCTGAGTGCTGTTGGAATGTCCAAGGTCTGCGGCCAAAATGTTTGTGTGTCCAAGGCTTTAATACACCCCCCAGAATATTTTCACTATAATATTCGGTATTAATTCTGATGCCCCGGTCGATTAAAACGGCGGAGAGCACATTTTCAGCTGACCTCTTTGGCAAGTAAACACGATCATTTAGTTTGTTTACAAACTGCTGGTTAACGAATGTTTTCTCATCGGAAAAAACCAAATTCGGCAGTTCACAACTTTCGGCAAAGCGAAGCAACTCTTTACCTCTTTTGAGTCTATTTTCTTTCTGTGGCGGTGTAAGTTCTTGCACTTTTTGGAATTTTAATGGCTTTACCCCGAGCTAATTTTTTAATATTTGCGGAATGGAATATTGCGATATGTTCAGCTCACGAGCCATTTTTCTGCCACTGCGACGCAGGTTTCGATCAAGTCGCTTCTTTACTTTTCGAATCATTTCTGCTGATGTTGCTGTTTTCTTCCGTCCGCGTCCTTAACGTCGGTCTACGCTACCAGTATCACGGTAACGAGCGATGGTACGAGACACAAAGGATTTATTCACATATTAATGCTGGAGTGCTCTAACGATAGCCACTTGTGGTTTTCCAGCCAAATATAAAGAAATCACACAATCACGCTTGAATTCCACCACGAATAACTTTTTTTCTAGAAAATTCTCACCAAAATGCTTTTGTATGCTTGTAACCAATATAATGAGCATAAATCGACTCCGAATGTGATTATATGAATATCATCTAAAGGAACTATGGGTTAATTTCGTTTCCTTCTCCATGTTACAAACAGATGCACAAAGACATAATACCCAGTACCACAGTGTGTCGTAGGGTATAAAAACGAGTTACATATTCCTCCATATTGTAATAATTCATTTTGTGTCCAGCAACTTATTAGCCAATTCATTCATTGCATTTCGCTGCATGACATTTATTTTTTGGCATGTGGTTTTATATCTTATCCTCTGTGTCCTTTTTGCGGTTTGTAATATGTCTGTTTGTCATTTCTTTTCAGTGGTCTGGCCATTACATACATTAAGGACATACACATTTCACATCAAAAATGTTTGTCAAAAAGAAAAAATTAAATTGGACGGTTTGGATTTTATAATAACAACGATGTGAAAACTTAAATTTTATTTCATTCAGCTGAAGAAAGTTATAAGGTCCAACAATGTTATAAGGTCCAGCAACATCAGCAGAAATGGTTCGAAAGGTAAAGAAGCGACTTGATCGAGACTCGCGTCGTAATGGCCGAAAAATGGCTCGAGAGCTGAACATATCGCAATATTCCATTCAGCAAATATTGAAAAATGAGCTCGGGGTAAAGCCATTCAAATACAGCAATGGAAAGAAAATAGGCTCAAAAGAGCTAAAAAGTTGCTCCGAATGTGGTGAACTGCCGTTTTTGATTTTCTCCCAAGAGAAAACATTGGTTGTCCAGCAGTTTGTAAACCTACAAAATGCTCGCTCCGTATTGATCGACCGTGACATCAGAATAAATGCCGAATATTATCGCGAAAATACAATAGGACTCAGCACCATGGCACTCAGCACGCCCCACCAAGAACGGTTACAAAATGAGGTTCCTCGCTTCATTTCTAGCACACAATGGCCACCAAAATCTCCGGATACCAATGCGTTGGACTATTGTGTCTGGAGTATTTTGGAAAACAATGTTGCCACTAAAAATACAAAAGTGTCGATTACCTTAAGCAAGCGCTTCGCCGAGCATAGGTTAAAATACCGAAGAGCAACATTCGGGCAGCGTGTGATGGTTTCATTGGCCGTTTGAAGGCCACAATTCGTGCCAATGGTAACAAATTGGAACAAATCTAAACTTATTCCAAAATTTTATGCTATTTCCGACATTTTTTGCTTTTAGTCAATAATATTAAAAAAAATATATAAAAATTATGGCGTTTGACTTTGTTGCAGTTTTTTTTATCTCACCCTGTATTGGGGTTTCCAGATTTAGCAAAAAGAGAAAATTGTACTTTTTTGGACTAATTTTCGAATTTTTGTACCTTTTATACTTACAGCCAAAAATTCCACTTTATCAGATGTCTCAGAGTTTTCTGAAACCTCACCTTATCAGCCACCCTCCCAGTACGGCAACCTACCTGGCCAATTTTAAGTTTTTAGTCCTATGGCTTTCTTCTTTGCTTTCACACGGAAATAAAATTTGCTATTAAATGTTTCCTCTGTTTCAGAACCTGCAAGAATCTGCTATTTTTTGCAATTTTCTTCGAATTCATAAAGGGAAAATCGGTTATCGTAGTGAAAACTTTCAAATTTTTGAAGTTCTGGAAAAGACCATAAAATACGAAATGTTTTGAATTATTTTCGTATTGAAATTGTCAAAATGTCAGTCAATTTTAAAATTATTTTGTGTATTTTCTTCACTTATTTGTTTGTAAATTTGAACGCATCTCCTATTTCTAAAAACAACCAAGAACTATATGATGTTCCAACGAAATCTCTCAATAATCAGCATCAAGCCTTGATGTCATCAAACCAGAGCTTAGATTCGCTTTATCGAATAACAGGGGGTTATCGACCTTCCGAACATGTAGTATCAATCAGGAGGAAGAATCGATTCAATGCCATGTTAAATAAATACTTTGGCTCCGGGCACATGTGTGGAGGTGCAATCCTAAATTCCAGGGTAATTTTGACTGCGGCTCATTGTTTGAAATCGGTGTAAGTTCGTTCAAAGTTTCCGAAATTTAAAAAAAAATATATTATTTTTCTTTTCAAGATTCAAGAAAGACGAACGGCCATCCAGTTTGGAGGTGGTAGCCAAAACCCCAAAACGTTTAAACAAAACTCCGGTAACACAAGTTCTCACGGTCAGCGAAGTTATAACACATTCGGAATATAGTCCCAAGACTAATCACAATGATATCGGTATACTTAAATTAATGGAGGACATTATTTTCGACAATAAGTGGGCGGATAAAATTGCACAGCCCAACAAGCCACCCATTGCTGAAACGAGTTGCACTGTCTTGGGTTGGGGTAAAATGTATGAGGTAGGTATGGTAGGATCTTTTTACATGGTTGTTCTAATCTAATCTCCTCTTATCTTCGCAGCGTGGTCCAATGCCAAATGAAGTTTTATACATAAATGTTGTAATTCACAAGAACTCGTACTGTCACCTGGTATTTCCTGATTTGAGTGAGAAGCAAATATGTGCCGGTGATGCGAAGCATGAGCAAAGGGATGCATGTATGGGAGATTCTGGTAGTCCGTTAATATGTGATGGTAGGAAGTGTTTTATTTGTATTTAGAAATATAATACAGCTGTTCTACTGTTCCATTTATTTTAGATGTCGTTGTTGGCATAGTTTCCTTTGGCCATGGCTGTCACCAAAAGCATCCCACGGTTTATTCCGATGTATTTTATTATTTGGACTGGATCAAGGAAAATCATGGTGTGACTTCATATGGGTCTTGTTCAGTCATATTTTTCATTTTTGCCATGCTTTCGATATTCTTTCTATAATTTGTCGCAACATGTACCTCTGATATTAACAAAGCATAAAACATGAAAACAATTTTAATAACAAAAAAGAAAAAAATGAATTGTCAATAATTTTAAATATGAACGGTACCTACAGTGATGAGGCCCGGTATCTATTCTCTATGCGACCTCAAATTCCTAATTTCAGTTATAAATCTGAGAATACCATTATATTAGAGATGCTTTAAAAATAGATCCAAATGAATTTGTTTTCACAACAAGAAAACTCAAAAAACTGGTATCGATTCAACGGTTGATGTTGATCTACACGGATAGGGAGAGGGGAGAGGTCAGATTATCTTAGATCAACCATTTTCCCTTCTATAGGCAGAAATTTTGGTTTTTATGAAAAAAAATTGGTCTTTAACAAAAAACCTTTCGTCCTTATTAATGAGATATCCTAGTCGAACATGGATCTTTTAGTCTGTTCGGAGAAGAAAAATATTAAAAGGCATTATGGTCTTCCATGAGAATCTTCTTCCGTGTCTTCTATTTTCTACATCTAGGCTTTTCTACATCTAGCCTTCTAGGAAAACAGCTAATGATCTTCTAAGTCTTCTATGAGAAAACCTCCTTCCTCTAGCCTTTTATTAAAACAAATGAAAGCAGATAAACACTTTCTCTTTGGAATGCGTATGAATAACATTTCGATAATTAATTTATAGCTGATAAGCTTAACAGCAAAGTGAGACCCTTCTGGTATTCTATGAGATCATCTGTTCTTTCATGAGAAAACCCTCTGACAAGACCCTCTCGTCTTCCATTAAAAGGCTCTTTATTCTTCTGCATGTCACGAAAACCGGGAATTTTTCTCAAAAACGGTCGGAAGACATTCCTGTTTTCTATGAGAAGATCTTTTGGTCTTCTATGGCAAGAACTTCCGGTCTTCTATAAGAATACCTTATGATCTTCTATGAGAAAACCTTCTGATATTCCAAGCAAAGACCCTTTGGTCTTTTATGAGAAATCTTCTTCTATGAGAAGACCCTCCTGTGTTCTACGAGAAGACCTTCTGGTCTTCTATGAGAATACCCCCCTGCTCTTCTATGAGAAGATCCTCTGGTTTCATATGAGAAGGCCCTCCGGACTTTCTTGGTAAGACCATATGGTCTTCCACAGAAGACCTTTTGGCTTTTCATCAGTAGACCTTCTGATCTTCCGTGAGAGAAAGACCAGAGGGTCTGTCTTCTATGAGAAGTCCATCGGTCTACTACGAGAAAACCTTCTGGTCTTCTATGAACAGACCTTCTGGTCTTGTTTGAGATGACCTTTTTATCTTCTATGAGATGTCATTCTGTTCTTTTATTGGAAGATTTTCTTGTCTTATATGGGAAGACCTTCTGGTCTTCTATGGCAAGACCTTCTAGTCTTTTATGGGATGACCTTCTGGTCTTCTATTGGAAGACCTTTTGATCTTCTATGAGAAGACCTTGCCGTCTTCTGTGGTAAGACATTCTGGTCTTCTATGAGAAAACCTTCCGATCTTCTATGAGAAGACCTTGCGGTCTTCTATGAGAAAAGCATCTGGTGTTCTGTGAGAAGACCTTCTGCTGTTCTATGCAAAGATCTTCTGGTCTTCTTTCTCCAAAACGCCCGAAAGGTGATCCTCAAGAGTACCGGATGTTCTTCCATGAGACGACCCTCTATAGCGACTACCATTAAACCAACAAATACAGATATTGGCCGTTATATAGAGAAATATCCAAAAAATACGAAACTATGGGAACATACTGAAAAGTCTGTATTATTCTACCATGAATTTGATAATTTTTATACCCTCAGCCATATGGCTACAGAGGGTATATATCATTTGATACGGTCGAAACGTGCCTAGTCGAAATAACGGTTTTAGACCCTAGGTCTCTTAGGACCAAATCCGTATCAGCACATTTGGAGTCGATCTAGCGATGTCCGTCCGTCGTCCGTCCGTCCGTCCGTCCGTCTGTCTGTCTGTCTGTCTGTCTGTCTGTCTGTCTGGCTGGCTGGTGTGCACGATAACTCTCGAAGGGAGTATCCGATTTGGTCCAAACTTGGTACATCGTAATATTTTTGTCAAACTTAGATCGAGTTCGAAGATGGGCAATATCGGTCCACTCCTTCTGGTACCTCCCTACAAAAAGTCGAAATGTGCAAATCATATATTTTTTGCACAGAAAGAGAAACGATGATCCGATTTTGGTCCAACTTTGCAAATACTAATATTTGCATCAGTGCTAGGTCTGGTCCGAAAATGGACAATATCGGTTCACTCCTTCAAGTACCTACCCCACAAATGGTCAAAATTTTGAATAATTACAACTCTCATAAAACGTGATGTAAGAGTCCCATTGTCTTCAAATTACATACAACACAATCATTTTATTAGTCAAGGTCTGGTGTTAAGATGGAGTATATCGGTCCACTTCTTCTGGTACCTCCCCCACAAATGGTCGAAATTTTAAAAATATATATTTTCTGAACAGAAAGGAAAGCAATAATTTAATTTTGAAAAACATAACACTCAAAGAAAGCGAAATAAGGATCCAACTCTCTTCAAATTTCACACATACAATAATTTTTGCTAACACCAGATCTGTTGTGAAGATGCTATATATCTTCGAACACCTTCTGGCACCTCACTCACAAGGGGACACAATTTTCAATATTTTCATCTATCATAAATTGCGAAGCAACTCAGCGATTCTTAACAATTGCTATATCCATCTACTATAATTTATTTTTTATATATATAATTAGTTTAATATATAATAATATTTATATCATATTTATTTAGGTGGGATACGAAATGGACAATATTGAACGATTCTTTCAAAACCCACTCCATAGAGGGTGAATAGGGATGAGGGTATACATCTGTCGGCAAAATCGACCGATACTTTTTTACTTGTTATTTCTAGACAACAGTTTAAAGGTGAGAATACATAAAACTTTTTTTTTTAATTGAACTAAGTCAACCTAAAGCTCCTTTATTCTTCTACAAAAACCCCAGCCGATGACTTAAGGTAGACAAAAAAAGAGTTTTGTGTATTCTCACCTTTATATTGAAAATTGAAGTCACATATTCACTTTCAGAAATATTGGAAACACATTTTTCCAAAACCCATAGTAATCTGTACCTGTTATATGTTTGTAGCAACCGCATTCTGTATCATTAAATTAAATGGAAGTAGATTATCACTATTTCTTTGGAACACATCTGCGTATGAATAATATTTAGATAATTCATTTATAGCTCATACGCATGGTGGGATAGTGGCTTAGGCGTTTCATTGGGAATGGGCCAAAATACCGCAGAGCAATATTCGGTCAGCGTGTGACGGTTTCATTGGCCGTTTAAAGGCCATAATTCGTGCTAAAGGTGACCAATTCGAATAAATCTAAACTTATTTTAAAATTTGATGCTATTTCCGACATTTGTTGCTTTCATTCAATAAAATTAAAAAAAAAAGTAAACATTATGACGTGTGACTTTGTTGCCACTTTTTTTATCTCACCCTGTATTTTTGGGAATATACGTTGCGGTGAATTTTAGGTAAGGCTGTAACACATGAAATTTCTTTCAAATTATTTCAAAATGTCAGTCAAATTAAAAATTATTTTGTGTTTTTGTTTTCTATCCCTGTTCGTGGAGATTTCGAAAGTGAACTGTAATTCAAATAACAATACCGTCAAAATACATTCATTGTCCTCCAAAACTAATAGTAGGGATACGATTCATCGAATAATCGGAGGCTATAGGACAGACGAGCTTTCATTGGCCAAATTTTTGGTATCAATAAGGACGAAGAGCATATTCCTTGACTTGTTTCCATCTTACTTTGGTACTGATCATATATGTGGCGGATCAATTTTGAATTCCCAGATGATCTTAACGGCGGCCCATTGTTTGGTAGAGTGAGTAGCAGTAACATTATTTTCTTCCATGTTGTAATTTTATATTTTTAAGGGGCGAAGAAGCTGTTACCCCCTCTAGTCTCAAGGTGGTGGCTAAGACTCCCAAACGTTTAAACAAAGTGCCACAAACGGAAATTCTTGCGGTCAAGAAGGTTTTAATACATCCCCTTTACGATGCCAAAGATTTTCACAATGACATTGGTCTCCTAAAATTGAAGGATGAAATTACTCTGGATGGTATTTGGGCTGAAAAAACACGTTTACCAAATATGGGACCCATTATCCATTCAAAATGCACCGTCATTGGTTGGGGCTGCATGTTTGAGGTAAGAGGTGTGACAAGTTGGAAAACATAATTTTTATTAAAAATGATATTGTTTTCGTTATAGGGTGGACCTTTGTCCAATGACATTTTATATGTTGATGTAATCATTTATGAGCCATCATTCTGTGAAACATATTTCCCCGCCTTGGGAGAAAAAAAGATATGTGCCGCCGATAAGGATAGCCCCGAAATGAATGTTTGTCCTGGTGATTCAGGTGGACCATTGTTTTGTAATGGTAGGAGAGTTGTTAGAAAATTATAAAACTTTAGATTTGTGTATCTCGGCTTTAATTTTCAGATGTTCTGACTGGCATTGTTTCATACAAACATGATGGTGAAGAAGAATTACCCGCGGTGTACACAGATGTGTTTAGTCATTTAGATTGGATCGATAGAAACAGTGGCTGTGAATTGTACTTCGTGTGCGTGTGGACATGGCTTATTGATTTAATATTGGTTGTATTATTAATTTGAAATATATTCTGTAGAACTCGACATTTTCAAATTCTCTACTATTACAGAAATAAACCCGTAAGTAGAGCTAGAACTAGTCAATATTTTTCCCCATTTTTTTTTTTTTTTTTTTTTTTTTTGAAATTACCGAATAAAGGTTTTTTGAAAATATTGAAATGTGCTTTCGGTACCAGATATAGTCGATCGAAGTATTACATTTTCACACTTCAAATAATACAGAAAAAATATTTGTTTTTGATTTGAACGCCGTGTGGGGGAGATACCAGAAGAAATGGTCCAATCTCTACCACATTTATAACAGATTTTGTGTTGATGGAAATATTGAGATGTCCCAAGTCTGAATGGAATCGGATGTTTAATTCTCGTTTTATGAGCTTCATTGAAATTCAAAATTTTGACCCTCTTTGGGGAGGTACCAGAAGGAATGTTCCGATCTATACCATCATTATAACAGATCTCGTCTTGATGGAAATATTGAGATGTACCAAGTCTGAATGGAATCGGATGGTAATTTTGCGTTTTATAAACTTCGTTTATATTCAAAGTGTTCACCTTTGTGGGGGTGGGTCCCAGAAGGATTAAACCGATATATCCCATCCTCACAACAGATCTTGTGTTAGTAAAAATAAAGGGATGTCTGAAATATGAAATATAATCGCTTATAATCGTTTTGGTTATTCAAAACTTTGATCCTTGGTACCAGAAGGAATGGTCCGATCTCAACCATCTTTATAAGAGATCTTATGTGGATAGAAATATTGGGATTTGCCAAGTTTGAATGGAATTGGATGTTAATTTCGTATTTTAAGAGCTTCATTGATATTCAACATTTTGACCCTTTGAGGGGTAGGTACCAGAAGCAGTGGACCGATATATCCCATCTTCACACCAGACTTTGGGTTAATAAAAATATTGTGTTGTATGTAATTTGAAGACAATGGGACTCTTACATCACATTTTATAAAATTATTCAAAATTTCGACCTTGGGTGGAGGTACTTGATGGAGTGAACCTATATTGTCCACTTTCGCACCTGACCTAACACTGATGCATATATTAGGATTTGCAAAGTTGGAGCAAAATTGGATTTTCCTTTCTCTTTCTAGGCAATAAAATCAATATATTTTTTTAATTTCGATCTTTTGTGGGAGAGGTACCAGAAGGAGAACAAATTTTGTCCATCTCCGAACTCGATCTAAGTTTGATAATAATATTACGAAATACCAAGGTTGGACCGAATCGCATAATCCCTTCGAGAGTTACGTTCGTACCAGGCAGACAGACAGGCGGACTAACTGACATCACCTGTTCGACTCCAAATGTCCTGAAATGGATTTGGTCCAAAGAGACCTAGGGTCTACAACCGTAATACAAAGTAATATAAATATCATGTTGCAGAATTTTATCTCTATCCCTTCACCCAATACCAAATTCAGTATATTTCGTATAATTATAGAACGCAACAGGCAGTGGTTCAACTGCCTGTTCACCCAATAACTAACTGTACCGAATATAGTACTATTTAGTACTTTTCATGCACTTGTAGAACACATTTCCAAAACCAACTCTAAAAAAATTCAATATTTAAGTTAAACCAAGCGGGTTCAAACCCTACGCACCAAGACTCACACCCATGCGATATTTCAATCCAACCCCATTCCTGCACTTCAACAGTGATGCCATTTCCAAATTTCAGGGTTTTAGCCCTATCGGTTTACACAAATCCAAATTGCACTAAATTTAGTACACATTAGTACGATTTTCCAGAAATGTTTTCAATAGTAATCTTATATCCAAATTTCAAGATCCAACTCTATAGATTCTTCCAACATTTTAATTGCACCAAATTTAGTATCATTAGCTTTACATAGGAAAAAATTTTCAAAACTATAAACATTCCTCAGTCCTACAATGCAGTAGTATTTTTTTTCTAAATTTCAGATTTCCATCTCTATCGGTTCACCCACAAAATTTCGTGCACATAAGTAAAAATTTCGAAACCTTCTTCCATATCCAAATCCAACATTCCGCCAGTAATGTTAATTTGAAATTTCAGGATTCCAGCTCCATTTAGTACCGTTTAGTACTTCTCGTTTAAATGAGTAGATACTTCCAAAATCACAGTATATCAACGCTACTCCTCAACCTTGACTCGCATTCTACGTTTCAAGTTTTTAGCTCTAAACCATGATAAAAAGAAAAAGGTTAAGACATTTCAAATAAGAATATCCATCTCTGCATTTTTATACCCTACACCACAAGGTGGTCAGGGTATTATGTCTTTGTGTATTTGTTTGTAACAGGCAAAAGGAAACGAGATAGACCCATTGTTCCTTTGATGATCTGCATAGAACCACTTTCTGAGTTGATTTATGCATGTCAGTCCATCCGTCCGTCCGTCTGTCCGTCTGTCCATGTATTCTTGTGAACAAAATGCAGGTCGCATTTATTATCCGATTGAGATGAAATTTTCCAAACAACATTTGTTTGGCCCAAGGACAAACCCTATTGAAATTGGAGATAATCGGTAAAAATTTAGATATAGCTCCCATATATATCTTCGTCCGATTTGCCTTTTATTGTGCACCAAACGTGTAATATCAGCCCGAATTGTATGGAATTTTGCACATACAACCAAATTAGGCCTGAAAATAAGTATGCCAAATTTTATCGAAATCGGTTCAGATATAGCTATAGCTCCCATATATATTGTTCATCCGATTTGTTATTTTTGTCCTCCGCAGCCGTAATATGCACTCTGTAACAACAATATTTGGGGAAATATATCAAATGCAGCTCAGAAATACCTTTGCTAAATTTTATCAAGATCGGTTCAGATTTGGATATAGCTCCCATATATAACTTCGTCCGATTTACCATTCATTGTGCACCAAATGTCTAATATTTATCCAAATGGGATGGAATTTGGCACATACGACCGAATTTAGTCTAGAAGGTAGTATGCCAAATTTGGTGAAGATCGGTTCAGATATAGTTATAGCTCCCATATATATTGTTCATCCGATTTATTGTATTTATTACCCACAGCCGTAATATGCACTCCGTAAAAACGATATTCAGGGAAATATATCAAATACAGCTCAGAAATATCTTTGCCAAATCGAGATCGGTTCAGATTTGGATATAGTTCCCATATATATTTTTATCCGATTTTAAATTAATTTCGCACCCAATGTGCAATACAAGTCTGAATTTAAAAGAAACAAATGCTTCGGCATATTTAGTCCTTTGAATTTTCAATTATAATTATAATCATAGCGTGTATGATTGAATTCTCCCATAAAAACTTTTAATTTTTATGTGGAACTCAACTAAATTAGCAAGGTGGTGTAGGGTATCATAAAATCGGCCCCGTCCGACTTTAGGACTTTCTTTACTGGTTTGTAATTTACCTTGTCAAATGTCAACGGATTATAAAGATGTTCCCATCTCTGATTTCTGTGTATTTCCAAAAAGCCTCTGGTACATCTATCAAGCACTCAATATGTGATCCTCATTCAAAATTTAAGAGTTCTAGCTCTACTGATTCTTCAAATGCAAAGGTTACCGTATTTTGTACCTTTTAAAAATTTTCGTACCGTCGGACCAAGAGTGACCCTCTCCCAAAATTTCAAGACTCAAACTTTAGCTATTTCGTCTGGGATTTGATGAATTGTCAGTCAGTCGGTCAATTATTTTACTCTTAACAGATAACAATGCGAGTATTAGTTTGGTCGACATTTTTAACACTCAATCGAGTCTTTAAATATGTCTTCTTGGCCCTGATCCTTTTGAACATGATCGCAGCAAGTAAAAAAAATTTTGTCATAAAATTATATCATAGATCCAGGATGATATCAAACGCCAGTAATTCATGAATATTAAACACTCTTTTTGGGGTTAAAGCCGTACCTTATGTGAGTTTATGCTAAATTTACATGACCCACATTGAAACCAAGGATTCTTGAAATAATCCAAAGCTCTCTACAGAAGTCCCAAGCCTCACATAGTGAAAATTGCGAAATATAGCTCAAAATACCAATGTCCCCTTGTCTATGGTTAAGGCCTTAACAACTCTTTTGGAGTTTTCATCTACAAACCGAATACTATCAAATCCACTTAGAATACCTCACACATTCTCATAAATATTCTAATCTCCATAAGATAAGAAATAGCTATTAAAATTTAACAGATTTTGACAATAATTAAATTATGTAAAGTAAACAAAGATTTACAAAAAAAATATATATTCTATCTACTTTTCGGCTAAGCCGAAGACAGACTGTGTCAACAAAAAAATTGCTTAGCAATTAATATTGCAAACAATGTCAATCAAATGTAAGGACAGCTACAAGCAGTTGCACAAATTAAGCATGCAATATGCAAACCAGGATGTAAAAGGAACAAAAGAAAAAACTTAACAATAACAAAAAAAAAGAGAATAACAGTTATACCCTACGCATGTAGATGGTTGGTTATGAAAAGTGTTGAAATATGTATAGGCCAATAGAAGTTGAAGTCTTAAAAATATCAAAATCCTAGAATTCAATAGTGAACTTAATATTAAAATTCAGGATTCCAGCTCCATCTATTCACTCAAAGGCAAATTTAGGACGCATTTCCACACCAACTTTCAAATCACAACCTCAAACACCAAAACTTATTTAAATATCAATTTTCAGAATTTTATCTCTATCCCTTAAAGCAGTTAATCCTTAAACCAAATTTATTACCGCTTTGTGCTTTTCGCACAATTGCACACTCACCTTCATATATCTTAACCACAGACACCAAGAGAGAAATCTATATCAAATTTAAGGATTTCAACTCAATTCCTTCCCCCGATGGCAAATTTAGTACTATTTAGTACTTTTCGTATAATTATTATACACATTTCCAAACCCACCTTTATATCTTAATTCCATATACCACGAGAGACCTCAATATCAAATTTCAGGATTCCAGTCATATCCCTTTATTCAATATCAAATTTAGTACCATGTAGTACTTTTCATTCAAAC